GAATCAATGATCATCCACATGCACTTTTCAGAAGAAATGAATTGGGTCAAGTACTCGGGCTCTATAAGCAACAGCTGAAACTCGTCGTATCATGTGTTTTTATGCTTCTATTCAAATCATCTCGTTATGGATGTATGGAGTTCACGCATGGCGAGAGAAATATAGTAAAAATTACCGTGAAGCGGATGGTGAACGTGTAGCGACGACACTTGAAAATTTTCATCTGAATTTTCTGTGTCAAATCCCAGAAATTTTTATCATGCTTAATTCCACTGAAATTTCAGACAATCTTGTCGTTGAAAAATGAGATATTCCATTGATCTTCTGTTCGAGTGGTCTGAAAATCAATAAAATACCGGATTTTTCTGTTCAACTATTTCATGCAAATTTGAAAAAACAGGAAAATTCTAAGAAAAATTGAAAACTTATGTTTTTTTGTTTCTGAATTTTCATGTTTCATTAAAAATCAATCAAGTTGCGAAATTCCCGCCTCATTCTCACTGACGAGTCATGAATTTCCTTGAATTCTATGTAAAATTTGAAATTTCATAATCTTTTTTCCTCTAAATCGGAGTTAATGTTACTCTCATGAGAATTACTATAATAGTTTCCACGAAATTTTGAGAAATTTCTAAAAGTGTAGTATTTTTCCGGACTGTTGCGATGGGGTTTTTTACTTTAACAGTAGGGTTTGTGTGTTTTTCTAATAATTGAAGAAAAACTTTGTTATATACTCACACTGTTAAAAAATTTAGCTGAGTTTTTCGGAAAAAGACTTGGAATTCGATTTAAGGGGAAAACGTCAATGGAATTTCAAGTTTGTCTAAAACTTCAGTAAAGTCCTATTGTTTTGCGGCAGAAAACCGCAAATTCCACAATTTACATGAATTTTCAAGTGCAAAAGAATATTCACTACCAAATTCCCTTGAATAGTCAGGGGATCCCTTTAAAATTCTTGGAATTTAAGAATTTTTTCCAAAAATTCCCAGAAAATTCAGAGGAATTTGGAATTTAAGAAGAGATATCTCTGAATTTTCCTGACTTTTCACTAATTTTCGCAGAATAATTAAATTTAAATTTATAGTTCCCACGGATTTCCCCTGAAATTATGAATTTTCAATGACAAAATTTCTTGAATTTTCAGTGGAAAATTTTAAACAGTGTACGCACATGTACACACGTACGGACGAGGTCTAAAAATTGAATTTTCGGACTTTTTGGATCATACTGGGTCGACATAACACGAAAAAACCAAAACTTAAATTTAAACGATTACAAAGTTTCCATTCAGAAACCAAAAGAATTAATATTCAAGAAATGTTTAAATGCGCACTGAAATAGTTACCTGACCATTGAAAATTTTCGCGGTCGGCGATTGCATCAGGGCTCGAGAACCGTGAAACTTCCCTCCCGTCTCACCGCTCCCCCCAAAGAAATACAGACGAAACACCTTAAGTCGTCTGATCCTATTTTAAAACTTTCACGCTTGATTCATTTGAAATCCGACGGAAAAGAACACTTGAAATGCCTTCCCCCCTAGCCCCCGTTTTTATCGCAGTTGAGGGTCAAGGTCACTTGCTCCATATCGTCGAAAAATTCCGTGTTGTTTTCCGATCGCCATCTCCTCTACTGACGTTTTTTTATCCCCGAATTTCGAATAATCCAAACGCCCCGTGATTTATAAATCGTATAGTGAGAGATAGAGTGCAAGGTCGGTCCATCTACGCAAATAGTGCATTTACTCCGGAAGTGAGAGGTTGAATAATCGTAAATCATCGTATTGGAACTTTTGCGCAATTAATCCGGAGGATTATAAATAATACGGGGAACTGCGTTTGAGCTTTCGCGATGTCGCAGTTTTTTTGTTCACTCAGTTCTTCTCCAGTTTTCAATGTTTTTACTCTGCTCTTTTCTCAACTCGTCGCTCTATTATTCTTCGGGGCTGTCATTATCTCGCAGTGTTTTACATCTCCCGGCTCCTCCTTGCGTACAACTGCAGAGTCATTTACATTTTAGGATCGCAGGGGGGCTTTTGGATCACTGCCAAAATAGTGAGAATGAGGGTAATGGAGTTGAGAATTTTTGGGGTAGTCTTTAATCATCTGGAGGAGGAAACCGACATCCGTCGGGGCGGGGAGGCGTCAAGCGGTCGTTGATCTTGGGTTTGAGGTGGTGGGAATGATTTTTGATCTAATGAAAATTAATTAAAGTCGTTGGAAACGGAACGGAATTCAGATTGTCTGTGGTTTCAGTGCATTCATTGTTGAAATTTTTTTGAAATATTATGGATTATTTTTCTCACTCGGATTTCAGCCAATCAGAGCGCAGTATTTGAGGCTGTCAAACAGTTTTATTTCGGAAATTTCTAAAAAATTTCCAGTAGTAATACCACTCGTGCTTTAAAATTAATCGGATATTTTCCTCAAGCTTCCCTGTCTAGGAACGAGTGTGTCAAATTTTGCAGGTTTAAAATCCCGAGTACCGACGTCGGTGGCCGAGTGGATTAGACACAAGTCTAGTGTGCGAAAGGTTGTGAGTTCGATTCCCCGTGGAACTGAATTTTTCAACGGAAGGCTCCGGCGAGCGGGAGGTTGCTAATAGAGGAACCGCCTGTACCGGCATGGGTTTTCTGTGGTTTCCCCATGCTACTCTCTATGTTCTATAGAAGTGCGAATGCGGTACAGTGTAGAATCCACAGCCGCATGCATAGGGTTGGATAGAGTGCCGAATGGGACCCGAAAAGGGG